CAGAACAGAACACAGAACACAGAACACAGAACAGAACAGAACACAGAGCAGAGCAGAGCAGAGAGGAGCAGAGCAGAACAGAACAGAGCACAGAACAGAACAGAACAGAACAGAACACAGAGCAGAACAGAACACAGAACACAGAACACAGAACACAGAGCAGAGCAGAACAGAGAACACAGAACAGAACAGAACACAGAGCAGAGCGGAGCAGAGCAGAACAGAACACAGAGCAGAGCAGAGCAGAGAGGAGCAGAGCAGAACAGAACAGAGCACAGAACAGAACAGAACAGAACAGACCAGAACAGAACACAACACAGAACAGAACACAGAACAGAACAAAAAACCAAACCGAACCCAACACAAAACAAAGCAAAGCAAAGCAAAACCCAAAACACAATAAAAACAAAAGAGAACAGAACAATCCAGAAAAGAACATGCAACAAAACAAAACGAGATATACATGGCACTCTTTGTGGCACCACTGATAAAGCAACCCGTACTTGTGCAGAGCGTTTGAATGCCATCGATCTACCGAACAAGACAAAATCAGCAATCTACAATTTCATTGAGCAGAGCAGAGAGGAGCAGAGCAGAACAGAACAGAGCACAGAACAGAACAGAACAGAACAGAACACAGAGCAGAACAGAACACAGAGCAGAGCAAAACAGAGCAGAACAGAACAGAACAGAACAGAACAGAACAGAACAGAACAGAACAGAACAGAACAGACCAGAACAGAACACAACACAGAACAGAACACAGAACAGAACAAAAAACCAAACCGAACCCAACACAAAACAAAGCAAAGCAAAGCAAAACCCAAAACACAATAAAAACAAAAGAGAACAGAACAATCCAGAAAAGAACATGCAACAAAACAAAACGAGATATACATGGCACTCTTTGTGGCACCACTGATAAAGCAACCCGTACTTGTGCAGAGCGTTTGAATGCCATCGATCTACCGAACAAGACAAAATCAGCAATCTACAATTTCATTTCGTCAAACTCAGATTGAGGCAAAGGTCATAAAAGGTCAAAGTAAAGCGTGGAATGTTATCAGCATTGCAATGAATAGGGCAAAATACATATTTCCCATTTATACAGCTCACAGAGCATATAGCTTTCCAAAAATGAAAAAATTATTGTGGGCATATAAACCCTGACGAATGCCTCAACCAAAAAAACCCTGAAATTTACAGCACAAATACTGCAGAACATAATCACTACATGGTTAAAGAAGGTTGCTTGGGGAAGAAATGGGAATAAAATGGCAGTCCATCATGCTGAACGTACGGTGTCATTTAGTGAAGTATTATTGACTAGCACACTCTATTCACCCGCTCGATGGGTGTCAATATAGAAATGGGATCTCGAAATGAAAGAATGGTTGATTTAATGCGTTCTGGTAGCTCAAGAAATTGCATGCATAGATTCATACAGCTGCAGAACCGCTGTCATCCATTTTGTGCTGCTGCCTGATGTCCATTTCAAGTGGCTTCTTTTGTAGAGAGCCATTAGAAGAATGACCAGAGTTGAGTTGAATTTAAATTCTGTCCTGCTGATGCATCGAATTCCAGTTTCACAATCAAAGTTTTACAATCAAAAGGCAGAAATAATAAAGCCCTGGCATATTAAAAAGAAGACATTGTGTTTTGTTTAAAAGAGGTGAATCTCACAAAATCTATCTACTTTTATTTCAGTATTATAGTAGCATAATATTTATTAATATTAACATACATTCTTAAAACATTTTTTATTAAAGTTTTAATAATTTTGTCAGATGAGTCATTTTTTCTTTTTGATATATTTAGTTAGCTTTAATGTATTCGTAATTTTTTTTTTTAATTTTTACTTTTTTTTTCATTTGTAATATATTTTTTTATATTTCTGTTTATTTTTTCAATTGTAGCAATTTTAGTACTTACATAGTACTAAAACTATTTACTGAATAGTTAAATATAATTCTATTTTGCATTCTTAAAAAATGCAATTCACCAGTATTACAAGTATTCCTCAAATTTATTTTAGAATTAAACTAATATAATATTTATTCATATTTTGAATAAGCTTTTATTTTTTATTTGTTTGTTTTTTACATGTTTTTGTCATTTTTTAGCATGCATTTAGCTTCAATTTTATTTTATATTTCAGTTTTAGCACTTTTGTACTTGTTATAGTTAAATACAATTCTACTCTGCACTTTTAAAGAGTAAAATCCGCATTAAAGAAGATTTCCTCAATATTATTTTAGTATTATAGTAGTATTATACATTTATTAGTATTTTGAAATAGCTTTTTTCAATTTTAGCTAGTTTTAGTAATTTTTTTTGCTAGTTTTAGTAACATGCTTTTTTAATTTTTAAAAAATATTTCTGTTTAGCTTTAATTATATTTTTATTTTAGTTTTAGTAATTTTAGTATTTCAACTAAAACTTGTTTTATTTCATTTTTTCAGTTCAGTTCATCTTTGTTTTACTCAACTTTGAAAAATAGTGTAATGTTTTTTTTTTTAATTCAGATTGATTTCAATTAACATTTCAATCCAAAACCACTAGTAAGAAATTCGATCTATTTTGCACTCTTAAAGAGTGAGATTCACCCCTAAATATGAATTCCTCAGTGTTTTCCCAGCGTTTCTGAGCCGTTCTGTGGATTTCTCTGCTTTATGAGGGAGTTTCCACAGATGGCAGATTTGACGACACTCCTGATATTTCTTTATAGCTCTCAGAGTCTGTGTTAAGCAACAAAACACAAAGTAATGAGCTCTGGATATGAGGAGGAGCAGAGAGGAATAGACTGACAGAGAGAAACGCCGCTGATGAATTTACCCACAAATCACTGCTGACACAGACGGACATCATCTCTCTGTCTTACAACGCAATTAGGGAATGTTAGTAGAGACGAAGGCCTGATGTGGTCAGTTAGTCGTGATGATGTTTAGATGATCAGACGTCTGTGGGTCACAAAGCAGCTATCGCTTCATTCATCTATTCATTCTGTGCCACTCAAACAGAGACCTGCCACTCATAGAAACACATACAATCACAGCATACAGTCCTGCCAATCAACTAAAACAACCAATCACGTCATCACATGCGCACAAACGTTTTGAGATGTATACATCCCTACATACACCCAAAGACTTCATCACTTCAGAAATCACAGTAAACCGAAGACGCACATGCAAGAGCATATATGGAGCATACAATCCATTTTTAATCATGCAACACCTCAACTGCTTATCAGTTGCATATGCATATAGCCAGCCGGGTTATTTATTTATTTATTTATTGTTTCAAGAAACTATGAGAAAATACAGACTAAAAACTATATTCTAAATCAGTAGTTTTTATTGTAAATATATAAAAATATATATAATAATTAGATGAAATATTGGAAATTATATATATATATACAGTATATATATATACACATATAATTTAAAATATAAATAACTGTACATTATAAATTTAAGCTAAATTTTAGGTTGGCCAACCGTTTTGGATATTTTGCTTTTTCCCAATTCCAGTTAACAGAGAGTACTTTACACACGAATAGACAAGAAAATAGAAAATAGACACACAAATGCTACTGTTTTATAAAAATGTATTGTGCAGACACAAATATTGTATGCAAAATTTCAATTAAATGCCTATTTTTATTACACATTTTCAGTAAGGAATAAAATAATATTCATAATTATACACTTCCCTCGACTTCATCTGCTATCTTAGATCTTGAGCTCATTGCAGTGCATTCAGGGATTGGCTCATCATCATTATAAGGCCACGTATAAGTTTGGAGCAGTCTTGGTGTCGGGAGCGCAGCTATGAAGCCTGACAGTGCTGTCTATGTAGGGCAGAAGCGCGGGACTCACCGAGGGCATGTGGCTGGATAGCAGGTGTCCGTCCTGGGCGAGCATGTTGGACATCATGAGGGCGGGCAGCTCGGGGTACGAGTACGGGTTGATCAGGCCGTTGTGAGGGATGGAGTGACACAGGTAGCCGGACTCGGGGTCCATCAGGTGCAGCAGCGGCGGCTCGGGGTGATTCGGTGGGGTTATAGGAGGGATCTCGTAGTCCTCGTCTCCCCCTCCTCCGCCGTTCCCACTGCCCCCTCCCTGTCCTGAGTAATTCTGCTGCGGAGAGGAAAGAAAATCACTTAGTCTTTACATTCTAGAAAAGTAACGTGAGCTGTGTTTTTCTTGTCAATGTTAAAATAAAATAAAATAAAATAAAATAAAATAAAATAAAATAAAATAAAATAAAAAATAAAAAAATAAAATAAAATAAA